CAACAACAACCCTGTGAAGTGAGTTGGGCTGAGGGAGAGTGACTGGCCCAAAGTCACCCAGCTGGCTTTCCTGTCTAAGGCAGGACTAGAACTCACAGTCTCCTGCTTTCTCGCCAGGTGCCTTTACCCACTAGGCCAAACTGGCTCTAGGAGTTTGGTCCTAATAAGAGTTTGGTTCAACCTAGGAGTTCTAGGAGTTCATCCTAATACTCCCTGGATTAGGAATCAGCAGAAGATGATAAACCTGTCCAGGGTCCAGGATGAAATGTGTGTAATTTAAAATACATTACAGGCTCCTTTGCAAATATTTACATCCTGCTGTTCAGGGGGTTACCATAAGCCAGTTGGTATAGGAAGTTCTGCATAGCCATGAAACATTTGAAAAATGGCATCCACAGGATGTCCGTACTTTGGTCAGAGTGACAGAAGCAGCATTGTGGAGTTGCCTACTGGCTCTCAAATACTTTTATTAAGTACTACTATTTAATACTCTTTAATACTATGTTGTTAACAACAAACATTAATGATAGCAACAATAACGTTGTTAATGATTTTCTGCAGGGAAAGGGTTCTGTAGTATTTTTTCATATTAAAAAAACCTATTCTCAAACTATTTTTATATTGGATAATATGGATACATAATGTTGAGATGTTCTCATGCATAAATCAAAGATCCAGAATATTCTTGCATAGGTCCTGGGGTCACACACAGTATTTTTTTGTTGATCATGCCTTTTGTAAATGTAAGATTTGTGCAGAATGCCATGGAAGGAAGCTGAAGAACTGATTTATTCAGATTTTTGGCCAAGACCTATATTGTAACTTGTGTTCATTCAAATGAACTTGTATGTGGCCAAGTCTTTTACTTTTCTCTTTCAAACAATTATTCTTTAGTTGTATTGAAATTGCCTTTATAACTTCTAGCTGCTTCAGAAGCAGTTTATATGGCTAAAGATGTCTATGTGTTGAGGGGTGGAGATTTTATTTGAGAAAAGCAAATCTAAATATTTCTTAGTTTTTGTAGGTCTTTGATTCCTAGTGAATGGGGACACAGCATACTCTTTTTTCTAGTTTTAACATGCCAGAGTTCTACATTCCATATTGTTGAATCCTGTTGGTATTATACAGGAGCTTTTCAAAACTGGGAGATTGTCTATTTTAATGTCTTCATCACAGCAAACCTGGAGAAAATCCTAGGTGTAACCTGAAATTATCATAGCACTTGGTAAAAATGTAACTTAAATGTCTATAATTTTCTTCCCCTTTCAGTTTAAAACTATCATTAATGCAGGTCCACATCTGCCACCTTTCTATTTTGTTGACCATCTTCTCAATTAAAAATTATGGAAAACTTGAGAGCCTGACATTATTTTAAAAGCTGTTCTCATCAAGTTGTTCTTGTAATATGAAACTCTTAACAGCAGTTGGGGTTCACCAATCATCTCTTAGGATGTACAGAGAACTTACTGTCCAATGAACAGCTTCGTGTTTTAGTTATACAGTAGATAAATATACTCTTTCTACTGAAAGTTCTGCTATTTTAAAAGTCTTGCATCCTAAATGACTAGCAATTCTGATAGAGAATTGTTGTTTTATAATTGTTTTGTTTTTAAAAGGCATGTGCTTGATTACCTGAATGAATAAAAATAAACCAGGGGTTGGAAACTGTGTTTCTTTAGCTGCTCCTGAACTGTCACTCCCATCAATGTCCACCATTGAGGGATGCTGAGGGTTGTTGTTTAGTGGTATCTGAAAAGCTACATAGATGCCATCTTGGATCCAGAAATGGAGTTTTATTGAGGAAATACAAGAAAAATGCAAGAGGGGAATTGGAGGGAGGATAATGAGCAACATAATGGCGATCAGCCTGGAGGCTACCTAGTGATAGACTTAGTTTCACAAGAGAAAGAAAGGAAGTGAAAGCAGAAAGTGAGTGAGAGAGAGAGAGAGAGAAGGGAGGAATGATACTTTTCCTTTTTTATGCATATACAAAACTAAGAGAGGGGATGCAAGACTCCTTAGCTTCAGGGTAAATATGGAAAGGGGAAAAAAAGCAAGGAGAGATTTCCCTGGCATTGGTAAAGCTTCAACAGGAAGAATCCACTAAAATGGAAATGAAAGAGAATTATTCATGAATGTTTATGAAAATAGCATTCAGAGCTGGAATTATTTCAGAATTAAATAAGTCTGAGTTTTATTCCAAGAAAGCATCTTCTGAAATCACCTGGAGGTAAGAAGATGGGAGATGCAAGGAAAAGCAGAGCCAGGAGCACTGCCATTTAAGCAGACAGCCTACAAAGGAAAGGAAACTAGGAATGGGTTGATGGGATTTATTTAGCAAAACTGAAACATAAATATGAGATTTAATTCTCCCAAGTGGCCCAGATGTATATGGCATAGAAATCTAGTTTGACTAGAACTCTCAAAATATTCAATAATTTCTTCCATTATGATTAATAATTAAAAAAAAGAATTTTATGGTTTTATGTAGACTGAACCTAACTGTTTTCAATCTATATCCATTCAGAATATAATCTTATTCTGTATTTATAAGAAACACAATCATATTTACACTGAAGCTATAATTTATTTGATGAACCATTCTTTTTGTATAGAATCAAAAGCACATATTCCATTTACTCTGAACATGCTTCATTTAGACAATTGGATTCTAACTAAATTC